GCTTAAGAATTGCAACTTTCGGGACTGGAGAGATGGCTCCACCTTTGAGAGTGTGGGTATGCTGTTCTTACAGAAGGCCTGAGTTCAGTTCACGATAATGTGGCTCAACCTTACCTGCCTGTAACCCCAGCTCCAGAGGATCAACACTCTCTTCTGGCCTTTGCTGACATGTGTACACACACACACACACACACACACACACACACACACACTCACACATTCACTTAAATAAAAAATGAATTCATCCATGAAAGAAATGAAATACAACTTTTAGTTAGCCTCCGGAAATAGCTACCGTTCTGTATTGAATTGTTGGTATAATTTACTTTTACTCCATATACATCAGCAAATAAGATACAATACTCCTTCTTTCTCTTATTTAAGGGGATTTAAGTAAAAAAAAAAAAACAAATAAACATACAAAATGGTATCACACTGATCAGCATGATCAGTATACACATGATAATAGATTTTTCTTGCCTATTAACATTGCAGTATTTTTAGATTCTAAAAGGTTTCAATAGGACCAAGAGCATTAGAGAATAAAGATCCTGTATGAAAATGGACGAGAGTGAGTCTGGTGTTTATTTAACCCCCAGAACCGCATTTAAAGCCCCAGGAATCAGCGCCATTATGCTATGACAACACTCCTTCTTGTGTTGAAATCTGACTGTGACTACCCTGTTACAATCCGCACAGACTTCTTCACTTCCTCCTAGGCCCGTGTCAGAGCCTGCTGTTCTAGGTTATTCCTTTTCCCTGCTTTATGGTAATCCGCGCGCTCACCATGGCAATATGTTGGTGATCTTCTTTGCATGGTCATTGGCTTGTTTTTTTTTACACAGAACTGTTCTGCATGCTCTTGCATGGGATTATGCAAACACGCAAGCGTTTCTGCAGGTTATTCATGGGGGAGTCCATGTGGAAGGACGGGGGGTGTGCTAACTTGACAAATATCTCTTGAGGGTTTGGGCCAGTGTCCACTGTTCAGGACCCAAGCTGTGTTCCCTGCCCCAACCCTTGAGAGCTCATCAGGGACATCCTTTTATTTATTTTCCCATCTTCCCCAGTCAGCAAAAATTTAAATTCATTTAAATTTGTTTGTACCAGCTTACTGAGGTTTAGACTTATTGTCTCTGGGTGAAGATGAGCATGGTGGACTCCTTCTGTTTGGGGTGGGGAAGGTATCCCTTTTTCCGTTCTGAGGATGGAATGGAAGATCTCTTGCATGCCAGGCGGGTGCTTTACCACTGCACTACATTCCAGCCCCATTTGTCATTACCTTTACAACACACCCGTATTCCCAAATATAGGGCAGATTTTAACCAACTGATCACATTGAGTCTTATAGCGTTTTTAATACTTGTTTGTATACATGCGTGTGCAAGAGTGTGTGTGTGTGCATGTGGTGATAAGAGGACAGCGTGCAGGAGTTTAGGAGTTGGTTCACTCCTTGCACCACGTCGTTCCAGGGACTCAAACTCGGGTCCTTGGCTGTGGCTACAAGAAACTTCTGCTGGAAGAAACATCTCGGAGGCTCAGAGTGTTATGGGCCTTTTGGCTGGTCCTTAACCATATATTTAAGTCATCATCTTAGAGCTGTTCACATGGCCTCTCCTCCCATCCACATAAGTTAGCTAATTGAGAACTGGTTTTAATAGTGGGCATGACTCCTCCATGAGGAAGACCTGTGGGTGTGTGAGTCCCGAGAGGCGGGGTCCTCATGGTTTCCAGGCTCATACGGACTTAGTTTCTCCTCTGCCACCGTCACCTAGAGATGCTCTGTCCCCACTGTCCGAAGCCTCTGATGGATTTCTTGTCAGGGTGGCCTGTCTTCACTTGCCTGGTGTCACACTGCACAGTCACCCACCGTGGATGAGATCCCGCCCTGTCAGCAGTGTCAGCAGTATTCTCTCACAACCTTTTTCACCTAAAAGATATTTTTATTTTATGTGCATTGGTGCTTGGCCTGAGTGTATGTCTGTGTGAGGGTGTCAGATCTTGGAGTTAGAGACAGTTGTTCGCTACTGTTGGGTGTTGGGAGAATTGTATCTCTCCAGTCCCCACTTTTGATTTTTCTGCAAGGTACTTAGAGATTGTCCCCTGCCCCCATGGGTATGTTCATGTGTGTATGGGGACATGTGTGTTTGGGGACATGTGTATATGTATGGAGGCCAGAAGACAAGCTTGGGTGTTGTTGCTTAGGCTCCATCCAATTTTTTTTTCCCCTGAGAGTTTCTTCCTTATCTGGAACTCAATAAATGGCCTAGGTTGGCTGACTGTTGAGCCCCAGGGACCACCTGTCTTGCCTCCTTAGTGCTGGCATCACAAATTGGCAACACTGTGCCTAGCTTTTCTTAGCCAGGTTCTGGGGATCACTGCTTTCAGAGCAAGCCCTTCACAAGCTGAGCCCTGGTATGGGAGAATTATCTGTATTCTGTCAATCATGTTTTAAATAAACTCTGATTGGCCAGGCAGGAAGTATAGGTGGGTCGACCAGACAGGAAGTAGAGGCGGGGCAATGAGAACAGAAGAATTCTGGGAAGGAGGAAGCCCATTCCTCCCAGTCCTGTCCAGACCACCAAGAAAGCAGGATGTGACCTGCCCCGCTGAAAAAGATACTGAGCCTTGTGGCTAACATAGATAAGAATAATGTGTTAATATAAGCTACAAGAGCTAATAAGAAGCCTGAGCTAATGGGCCAATCAGTTTATAACTTATGTAGACCTGTGTGTGATTTTCTTTGGGGGCTTACCAGATGTGAGAACTGGGCAGGACAGAAACCCCAACAAGCAGCAGGCCCTCATGTTACAGAGCCCCGTCACCTTTTCAGTGTTGTTTCTCTTCTTCCCTTGTTCTCTGGAGTGACTTCTTCATCTTTGCTTGGTTCAGCTCTGTTCTAGAATACTCTCTCATACATAATGGGCCTTCAGTAAAGAATTGTCCATAAAGGAGTGGGTGGTGGTTAGTAAAGAGAGAACACTTTGGAGAGAAATTAGAATGAGTGAAATGAATGAATGTTCATGTGTCAAGTCCAAATGGCTTAGTTAGGTTTCTATGGCTACGACAAAACACCATGACCAAAATGCAAGTTGCAGAGGGGAAAGGGTTCATTTGGCTTACAGTTCCACATTGCTGCTCAACACTGAAGGAAGCCAGGACAGGAACTCAAACTGGGCAGGATCCTGGAGGCAGGAGCTGATGCAGAGGCCAGGTGTGCTACTTACTGGCTTGCTTCCCCTGGCTTGCTCAGACTACTTTCCTACAGAACCCAGGACCACCAACCAGGGATGGTACCACCCACCAGCCCCTCCCTCAGGGATCACTAATTGAGAAAATGCCTTACAGCTGGATCTCATGGAGGCATTTCCTCAAGTGAGGCGCCTTCCTCTCTGATGACTCTAGCTTGTGTCAAGTCGACACACGAAACCAGCCAGTGCACCTAGAAATACACTGTGTGGACTGAAATAAAGCCCCGGATGGGGACAGAAGTGTGACTGAGTGTGTATTGGTGGCAGTTGAGACGTACTTAGGATTCCTAATTGGCAGTTTGTATTTGATCTTGAAGGCAGGTAAGCCTCACCTGATTCTAATTGGGAAACTAACAAGACCGGCATCTTGGAACCCCACCCACACCCCACACCAGAGAGGACAGAACATTAGGTTGGGGACTACAGGTAAAGATGAGATGAACAGACCTCCCACGGGGCTCTCTGTCACGGTGACAGGGGAGAGAAGTCAGTGGCCACATCTGAAAAGAATAGGGGGACTGGAGAGAAGTGAGCGGTTCATAAAGATACCATCTTTCCTCGTGACTCCCCAAGTTAGTGAAATCCGAGAACCAGCTGCATCTAGCCTGGGCTGAGCCACCAGGCCACGCTTCTGCCAAGCTTGCTCTTAAGTAATCAAACTGGGCCGCGGTCCAGGATGCTCCACCCACAGCTTCAACTTCCCTCTTGGTGAAAGCAATCTGGAATGAGCCTGCAAGCACGCCAGAGCAGGGGGGACGGGGGGGATGGGGGAGAGTGGGGGAAGGCCTCATAGTGAACTGGAAGGATTTTGGAAGGAAGGTGGCGTTTGACATCCAAGTTCCCCTGCTCTCCAAATCTTTCGTGCGAGTAAATTGCGTTCATTTGTCTCCGGGCACCTTTTCCAGCCCGACTTCTTCCAGCTTGCCTTGTAAATGTTTCTCAGTGGTGCTTTTGAGGCTTGGCTTCAGCTCCCTGGCTGGGACCAATCTTTATTCCTAGGAAATAGCTGGATGATGATCCTAGACTCCTGGATTCCATTTCTCCTCCCAGCTGTTCATTCGGGATTGGATACCTTGATATTCGCAGGTTCGCGCACCTCCCCCCTGCCTGCTTCTCACTAAGCCGAGTCTCCTACCCACCACCTCACCCCTCCTTGACCAGACAGGATTAACACCTGTTTCTTCAAGGCCGCCCTGGGACACCGTGGGCGTGGGGGCGTGTAGGTTGTTTGCTTCCTTCACCTCTTGCAATTACACAGCTTTCCTTCCATCCAGCAGTCACGCATTCCACCGCAACCTAAAAACCTCCAGATGAGGGGGGTATCATATTTCGAGGTTCACATGGGAAAGCCACGACTCACCCTTCTCTTGTTCAAATTGCATCAAATCTAATTTCCATGGCCCTGCGCTAGTGGGAACTCCACAGCCCCCAGTCAGCTGTCGGAGTTTGGAAATGATATTTCCAAACACAGCCCTGTAGGCAGCCAGCAGGCACTAGACAGCTGAGTGCTGGCAGAAAAAGCCCCAGACACCTATAGCCATCCAAACAGTGACTCATCTCATTATGGCCAGGATAAATATGGGAATAAATGGTATTTTTTCTACAAGCAGGAAGAATTGTCAAAATGCTTATCACTTTATAAAATATAACAGATTGTGCCTGTTCATGTTTTTGAAATGTTCCAACCATTCAGTGTGGGTTGTTTTTTTAATTTTTTTTTAAAGTTCAGCTTGTTTTTCTTCTTTCTAGGAGGCCTGGGGAAGCGAGGAACTTGCACCCTGTGCCACCCGAGCTCTGGATTCACCTGGCTGTGGTGGCCTGCGGCAACCGGTTGGAGGAGACGCTGGTCATGCTCAAGTCAGCCGTGCTCTTCAGCCACAGGAAGATTTGCTTTCACATCTTCACGGAAGACGCGCTCAAGCCGGAGTTTGATAAGCAGGTGAAGCGGTAAACGGAGGCACAGTGTTTGTGGGAGGGCCGTTAGACCACACTGGGCGAGCTGACAATGCAGATCACAGCTGGAGCTGGCTGCACGCTCAGTTGCTCAGTTGCTGGAAGACCTTGGCTCCTTGGCTTGGGGCTTTGCTTTGCTTGTGTGTGATTCAGAGATGGGCTCAGTTTCTAAAGCACTTGCTGAGCAAGCGTGAGAACCTATGTTTGGGTGTCCATAACCCACGGTGGCATGTGTCTGAACCTATGTTTGGGTGTCCATAACCCACGGTGGCATGTGTCTGAACCTATGTTTGGGTGTCCATAACCCATGGTGGCATGTGTCTGAACCTATGTTTGGGTCTCCATAACACACAGTGGCATGTATCTGAAAATCCTGCACTCCTAAGCCGAGATGTAAAGTAGAGACAGGAGAATCTACAGAAGCTCATGGGCCAGCTAACTCGGCTTGTGTAGCTGCAAAACTCAGACCCTGCCTCCAACAGGATACATGGTGAAGACCGGCCCACAAGGTTGTCCAACAACCTCCATGTGCTCCAGGGCGTGAGTGTATGCTCCAGTTTGCACACACTAGCACACACAAGAATTTTTAAAACTGGGCCAATCATGTCCTCCTCTTAGACATATTGGGAGCATATGAGCATATGACATGCACTCAGTCTGTGTTGGGTTATTAGAACTGCCTGCCTTCCTGGGGCAAATAGCTTGTTTTTATGTATTGAGGAGAGAATTTTAAATAACAAGTAGCAGGCTCAACGAGATAAATCCAAATAAAGGCAGAGTCCTCGCTACCCTCGAGTCTCATGTAAGAGATGTCAGAGCTAATGATGTGGGGGAGTCCTGCCATGTTTTTCTTTTTACCCAGAGGTCAGTGTATGTTTCTGTATGTAGACACACATATGTCTGTTCATATGCACACACGTACATATACAGATCAGGGCTGTGCTCTCCTGGATTCTCTGCCATGAGGCCATGTCAGCCTTGATCTGGGCTAGTGCTCCAACACCCTCACTCCCTTTTTGGCAGCTGTGGAGATTTTGTTATGCAGCTGGGTCTCCGTTTACTTGGCTCTTGCCTCTCTGAGTTTCAACCCACACAGAAGAGCTACAGAAAGACTAGTTCCCTCAGTGGAGGTCCTGCCCGACCTCGGCAGGCTGTGCTTTGTTTTCCTTGGATGTTTTATGTTGTACCAAGGTCTTGGATTCTGGCAGAGTGGGAACCTGCTTTGTTTTGTTTCTGCTGACTGAGTCAACAGTGATTCGTCCTGTCATCAGGCTAGTGGAGCTTGTGAGGAATGCCAAGAACAATGTATTGGGCAGAGAAAGACTAACAACAGAAGACTGGAGAATGTGTTATGCTTCCTAAGGGAAAAGTCACCTCCAGATGCCACCGAGAGAAGCCAGGAATGGGTAGTTTTAGAGCTTTGGAGTCAATTGGAACAATGCCTGTGGAATGCCTCAGGGGACAAGGGAATGAAAAGATTGGAACACCCCCAGTTGGCTGCTCTTAAGCGGCGTTATAAGGGAAAGGACAATGACGACATAAAGATTATGGTAGGTTATGTCAGCTGATGATTCGTGATTTCTTCTCATTAATCTTCACAACTCTTTGCAGAAAGTAACCCTGTCTAATTTAGGGGTTTTTTTGTTACTGTATTAAAATACCTGAGGCTAGGTAACATTCTAAAGAAAAAAAAAAAAAGGTTCATTTAACTCAGAGCTCTGGAGGTTCAAGATAAGGTCCATAACATAAGGATGTTATGACTGAGGATGTGGGACAGACAATGCCCTACCATAGCAGAAAAAAGACATCACACTGCCAGACAGGAATCCAGACAGATACTTTCTTTCGATGTTACCTTTAAACATGACCATACTAAGGACTGGGCTCCTGACACATGAACTTGTTGGGTGTGAGCTCAAAGCATAGCAAACTGAGAAAACCAAGACTCAAGGAGTTCTGTTGGTTTGCTCACTAAATGCCAGGTTAAACTCAATGGTTCCCGTCTTTGTGGCATTTACCACAATTCCGTACACCTTCCTGAACCACTAGACAAAGAACTCACATTCAAAATTTGGTTTGCTATTTACTTGTTCCAGAGTCTTGGGCTAGTCTTTTCACCTTCGAATGTCTCCTCTTCTGCATCTGCAACTTGGGGCTAGCCTGTACCATTCCGCCTATACACCACGGACAGTTTGTGAGTGGGGCGAGGGGCTAGAGATCGAAATACACATACACACACACACACACACATAGACACGGGTCATCCTTGAAACAAGAATGCCCTTTTATTGTGTTTGAGGGCATTTTATAAAGGCTCTCCTTGACTAATGGTCACACCCTAGCTCTCTGAACTTTTCAGCTGCAAGTCCACCAAAAACCACTCCCCTGCCATTAGGAACTCATGAGGGTCTCGTGCTCAGAGCAGTTGCAAGCACAAAAAAATAAGTTGTTTACTCCGGCAGGCAAGGGGTCACAGAAAATTCAGGGTCTGAGGGGTCTGCAGTCCCCAACACTAGCCCAGGCTATTCTTAGAAAAATGATGTTCAGGATGGCTCCAGTGAGCTATAGTGATGGCTCCTGCAGAGTTCACGACTTTGCATACCGGCTGCTTCTCTCCTGCAGGAACGAACTGGTCCACATGGCCTTGGCTCTGGGTCAAGAGCTCAATGACAGTGCTCATTCACACAGCTGCACCTGCTGGAGCATTGTTGACCAGTCAGGGTTCCCAGGATGCTACTTTAGGAAAGAGACTGGAACACCAGGACCATGCCTTTTGTTCCTTTTGTGTAACACCGACATGGATCTCTTCGACTGCCCAGAAGTAGCCACAGGCCATCCAACTACAAGGGCCTCAGAACTGTTCATACACAAGAATGGCGGAAAACTGGCCATGGATGAACTTTATTCAATCTCTCAGAGTCCATCTGCATCCTGGATGCTGAACATAGGGCTACACATTTGGCTAGAGATTGCGTGGGGGAAGAGAGATGTGTATGATCATATCTGTATGGCCAACTGTACCTTCCCGAGTATTCACATCCGTGGATACACTCCTCCTGTACTGGCCTGGGGTAGGTCTGTACACCAATAACATCAGGCGGAATGGAAGAAGACCATCCATGGAAGTAGACTTGAAAAGGCATTTCACTGTCTCTCTTGGGTTACCAACTCTGGGTGAAGCCCACTGCTGTGACTGTGTAGTCCATGGAGATCTTCATAAGATGAGGTATGAAGTCTTCTTGCCTGTTGTGGTGGTTTGAAAGAAAATGGCCCCCAAAGGAAGTGACATGATTAGGAGATATGGCCTTGTTGGAGTAGGGATGTTCTTGTTGGAGGAAGTGTGTCACTGTGAGGGTGGGCTTTGAGGTCTCATTTTTTTCTCAAGCTTCATTCAAGGCTACTTCCTGCTACCCTCTGGTTAAGATGTAGCCAGCACCACCTCTGCCTGCACGCTGTGCATGCTCCCTGTCATGATGATAATAGACTGAACCTCTGAAACTGTGAGCCACCACCTCAATTAAATGTTTTCTCTGTAAGAGTTGCCATGGTCATGGTGCCTATTCACAGCAATTAAAAAAAAATATCCCTAACCAAGACACCCATGTTCATGTATGAGCTTGGAGGCAGATCCTCCAGGCTCAGGCTTCAGAGAAGCCCCATTAAACCTTAGATTAGCAAAGACATCTCACCTCCAATGTCAGGAGGGCCCCAGAACCGAACCATCTCAGCTCATACATTCCTGACCTTAAGAAATTATTTGAGTGGGCTGAAGATACGGCTCAGTGGTTAAGAACACTTGCTTCTGGGTCTGGAGAGGTAGCTCATCAGTTAAAAGCACTGGCTGCTCTTCTAGAGGTCCTGAGTTTAATTCCTAGCAACCACATGGTGGCTCACAACCATCTATAATGGGATCTGATGCCTCCTTCTGGCATAAAGGCACACATGCAGAAAGAGAATTCAGATACATAAACTACATATATCTTAAAAACAAAACAGTGCTTCTCACCTGGGCCGTGGTAGTGCATGACTTTAATCCCAGCACTCGGAAGGCAAAGCCAGGCTGGTTTCTGTGAGTTTGAGGCCAGTCTGGTCTACAGAGAGAGTTCTAGAACAGTCAGAGCTACACAGAGAAATCCTGTTTCAAAAAAAAAAAAAAAAAGAAAAAGAACACTTGCTTCTCTTGCAGAGGACCCAGGTTGCACCCACACAGTGAACCACAACCATATGTAACTCCAATTTTGGGGGGGCTTCAGTCCCCTTTTCTATACTCTACAGGCAGCAGGTATACATGTGTTACTTGTACATACATGCAAACAAAACCTCTTATACATATAAAATAAATAAAAGAGTTGATTGAGCCTGTTCTGGTGGTGCAGGTCTGTAATCTCAGCTACATGGGAGGTTGAGGCAGGAGAATCATGAGTCTAAGCCCTGCCCAGAGTACAAAGTGAGTTTAAGGCCAACCTGGGCAACTTAGTAAGACTGACTCAGAACGAAAAGTAGAAAGGGGGCTGGGGATGCAACTCTGTCAGGGCATTGCCTAGCATACATGAGGTCCTGGGTTCATTCCTCCCTGCTACGCACACGCACACACATGCACACACACGCACACACACGCACACATGCACACACACACACACACACCACAGAAGGAGGTAAAGGAGGGAGAGAGAGGGAGGAAGACGAAGGGAGAAACATGAAGTGGTTGGTAAGATGGTTGTAGGTGAGGGCGTTTGCCACCAGGCTTTCCAGCCTGAGTTCAGTCTCTGAGACCTACATGACAGGAGAGAACTAGCTCCTACAAGTTGTGCTCTGACCTCCACACACGTGAGATGGCTTGCACGTGCACAGACATATAATAAATGAATAAATAAATAATTGTAATAAAATGTTTTCTCAAATTATTTGGAAGAAACATTTATGGCCTTAAGCTGTTACTTTCTGGGTCGTTTGTTACAAGGTAACAGTTAATACTACTTCTGTGCACGCACACACATACATGTCGCTATACATTCAGATGAGGGAGGGAGTATGACAGGTGTAATGACATATAACATTTAAGGCTAGGTCATGAAAAAAGACAGCTTTTGTTTGACCCTTTGGGGTGTACTGTCCCTAGAAGTTGCTACATTCCCAGAGAAGTTCAGAGTAGACTGTGTGAGGAGACCCTCAGAAGAGGCCTCGTCCAACAGACTGCCTTGGGCATCAGGCATACGGACAGAGTTGCTTCGGCTGTTCATACCTGGCCTTTAAGGCTTCTGGCTGAGGCCCCAGGACGGTGAAGCATAGTCCCTGTTCTTACTGTGACTTGTCTGAATTGCTGACCCATGGATTCTGAGTGTGTAATAGATGGCTGTTAGATGAGCCACAGTGACTGCCAAGTTGCAGTCTCGAAACAGCCTCCTCTGGGATGCCATGCTCAGTGCTTACGATGCTCTGCTGTGTGTTGGTTTCCCTGATACACTTTCTCTTGAGTGGCTTCAAGTCTCTGTGAAACCAGTGAAGGGTGTTGCCGTAAGTGTTGCTGTGGTTTGGATCTAGACTGTCCCCCAAAAGCCATGGTAAACTCTTGGGCCTCCTTGGTGCTGTTAGGAAGTGGAAGACCTCAGGAAAGTTAAACCTGTGGTTTTCAGTGCTTGTAAGTGTCTATTGGGGCCCCAGCTCCTTTCTGTTTTCTCTTTTAAAAGAAGACTTACTTAATTTTAAGTGTGTTGTTATTTTCCTTCATGTATGCCTGTGTACCACATGCATGCAGTTCCCACAGAGGCCAGAAGAGGGCATCAGATTCCCTAGAACCAGAGTTAGAGACGGTTGTGAGCTACCATGTGAGTGCTGGGAATTGAACCTGGGTCCTCTGGAAACAGAGCCAGTGCTCTAACCACTGAGACATCTCATATATTTCTTCTGTACGCATTGCTGTTGTGATCTGCATCCTTGTCACAGGTCCCATAGCAACTGGACTGACCAACCAGTACCTGGACCTAATTTTTTCCCTCATTTTGACTTTTTGGTTATGGTGTTGGTTTAGTTTGATTTGGTTGAAACAGAGTCTGACGACATGTTTCCTGCCTGCCTGCCTCTGCCTGCCTGCCTCTGCCCTTCGAGTGCTAGAACTGAAGATTGTGCCACCCTGCCAGGAACCTTTCCTCTTTTTAAGTCGACTGTAGTAGGAGGCTGCTTGTTCATTTCCTGGCTGCCCAGACTCCCAAAATAACCACACAGAAACTATATTAATGAACTCTCTACTTGGTCTATTAGCTTCTTATGGGCTAGCTCTTACGTCCTAAACTAGCCCATCTCCATTAATCTGTGTATTACCACATGGCTGTGACTTACCGGGTTCCATCCCCAGCGTCTGTGTCTGGTGGGGCTACACGGCGTCTCCCGACTCTGCCATATTTCCCCACCTAACTCAACTCTACCCTATCACAGGCCAGGGCAGGTTTATTCATTAACCAATAAAGCACATAGATAGAAGAACCTCCCACACCAGGGGACGACCTCAGGTATTTCGTTGCAGTACAGTCGGGCTGACTAACACAGGTATTAAGCAATTGGCACAACACGTGGTCTTACCTTTCTCCCCGTGCCATAATTATGGTGACGGTTTACATTTGAAACCCGAGACTCTCTGTAGGTGATAGAAGGCCCCTCTGTTTTTTGTCATCCACGTCTCAGGACAAACCATTCTTCTTCTGAGCATTTTTGCAGAGTACCATTGTGGGGCCAGTCTGATCATAGATTTGTTCTTTCACTCTGCAAAGATTCTCTGGAATGTTTGCTGTCCATTGGGCATTTTGTTACCGCAGCTGGCTGAGGCTGGGTTGTGGGGAGGGGGCAGTGTCGGCCCTTTCCTCTGCTGTCACCCAGCACTGAGCATTTTAGGCATATTCAGAGTTTTCCGTGATAACTTCCTGGGATATTTAGAACCACGTATTTTTCCTCGGGATGCAATTAAAAAAAAAAAAAGTCATCCACTGTTGCTATGCCTCGGCAGCTGCACCATGGGTTAGGTCTTCTATATTTAGAGCGTTCCTCTTCTTTTTTAAAAAGTTATGTTACATGCAGCTTCTCTTTAAGAGAAAAAGAACAAAAGGCTCCAGAAGTTGCTTTTAAAAGGTATCCTGGGGCTGGGGAGATGGCTCAACTTGTTAAAGGGCTTGCTAAGCGAGCCGGATGAGCTGAGTTTGATCCCAGGAATACAGGTAAAAGGCTCCGGGTAGCTCACATTTGTTAGCCCAGAACGCCTACTGTGAGATAGCAGCAAAGACAGAATCACCTAGAAGCTCACAACCCTAGAATAAAGGGAGGGCAACAACATGAGAAACTGCCTTCAGAAGGTGGAAGGGGACTCTCTCCTCTGCGCACGCACACACACACACACACGCACACACACACACACACAAATTTGCGACAGGAGGGCTAAACTTTGAGGGGGAAGAAGAGCCAAACAGAAAAGAACATAAGCCTGAAGACCTGATTTCCACCCCTGAAATCCCTGGTACAAAGAAGACCAGACTCACAGAGGTGCATTCCAGTGTCCAAGCACCTACCTGTTCATACCTTCATGAGCAAACAGCTCCAGACTGCCTGTAGCTCTGAGCCCTGGTGACGGCCAGAAGGAAGGCCTTGTATGGAGGAAGTGTGAGCAGCCAAAGTTTAGCACAGATCAGTGGCCATATTTGGATCATTCCAGAGGAAGTCCCTAGCGAGGGCTTTGTTGGCAGTTTTGGGTGAGCTTAAGTAGCAGACAGTTACTGGAGTTTAGCTGCTGGTTTCTAAATAACCTGGGATGGCGCTGTTTGGCCTACACAGGTCTTAGCTGCTTAGGTAGAAACCTGGTATTCGGAACTGATGAAGCCTCCTAACCTCTGTGTTCACTCCTTTTCCCTTGCTGTGATAAAACACCATGAAAAGGCAGCTTATTAGAAGGAAAGGTTTGTTTGGGCTTCCGGTTCCAGAGGTAAGAGTCCATCGTGGCAAGAAAGCATGGCAGCAAAGGCCGGAGCCGAATGCTGAGGACTTATGTCTTAAACCCCAAGCAAAAACGGAACAGAATGTGGCTTTAAAATCTCAAAGCCTACACCTAGTCACACACCTCCTCCAGCAAGGCTGCACCTCCTAATCCTACCCAAACAATGCCAGTAATTGGGGCCCAAGCATTTAAACATCTGAGTCTTTGGGGGACATTCTCATTCAAGCCACCACAGCCTCCCAATTAACTATCCTATTAGAAGCAATAGTTATAGCAGTTAACTTCTCAACAGAAATACTAGCTAACACACAATGGGATAATAGCTTCAAAATGCAGAGAATACATCAGCTTGGGTATTCTCCCCTGGTTAAACTACACACAGAGAATGAAAGAATTAACTGCAAAAGGTCTTCATTAAAGGAGACTTTATAGGATGTTCTTCAAGATAGAGTAAAGTGATCCCAGAAAGAATCTCAGTGAGTTTGAGGCCAGCCAGGTCTACAGAGTGAGTTCCAAAAACATCCAGTAGTGTTACATAGAGAAACCCTGTGTCGAAAACAAAAAACAAACAGAAAAGATGTGTGTACATTTTAAACAAATAACCAATAGATTTGTGAACCACAAACGAAAAGGGCCTCGCCACCACAGTAGTGCTCAGGAGAACAATTTTGACATATTTTTCTATTGTATGTCTGTGCTGGTTAGTTTATTTGTCAGTTTGACAAGAGCTAGAATCATCTGGAAAGAGGAAATGTCAGACTGGCCTGTAGGCAACTCTGTGGGGAATTTTCATTACCACTAATTTGTAATGGAGGGCCCAGTCCCCTGGAAGTGATGCCACTCCTGAGCAGGTCCTGGATTGTCCTGGATACGAAAGCAGGCTAAGCTAGCCATGAGGAGTGTAGGCAGAGTTTCTGTGTACTGCCAACCTTTCCCAAATAACCACTTGTAGACTTCTTATTAATATGAAAGCCAATAGCTTAGGCTTGTTTTTAGGTAACTCTTGTAACTTCAATTAGCCCATTTCTATTCGTCGATGTGCTGCCTCAAGGCTCGTTTACCTCACGTATGTACGGTCCATGCTGCTTCCTCCCCCACTCCCTACTCCACCCTTCTTTTTCTCTGCCCCGAAAATCCTGCCTAGCCACTGACCATTTAGCTTTTTTATTAAACCAGCCACAGTAGCATATAGTCACACAGTGTAAAGGAATATTCTACAGAGGAGCAAGCCATTAAGTAGGATTCCTCCATGGCCTCTGCACCAGTTCCTGTCTCCAGGTTCCCCACCAAAGTTCCTGCCCTGACTTCCCCTTGCAATGGACTGTAAGCTTTAAACTGAAATAAACTTTCTTTCCTTCCCAAAACGCTTTGGGGCATGGTGCTTTATCACAGAAACAGAAAACAAACTAGAATAATACCTTTTCATATGAATATCAGAAATTAAATCATACACCGTGTTCTTTCTTTTACTAACAGTGCGTAGATAATTAATTTCGCCTAAAGCAGTGGGTAGCTTTTTAAAGTTTTCCTGTAAGACACCAGCTATAATAACTGTTGCTTTGCTGATGTTGTGGATCACAGTTATATTCGCCCCTGTCATTAAGTGGCCATAACAATCAATGTGCACGCGTGTGTAGGGGTGTGTGTGTGGCTGGGTTCCGTTCTATTGAGGGATACAAATTCAAGTTTCATGTAACTTTTATCTATCACAAAGCATGAGTCTTTTGATTTTTTTAAAAGATTTATTTTTAATTAAGTGTGTATATGTATGTATGTATGTATGTGAGTATGTACACGTGACTAAAGCTGCCTGTGGAGGCCAGATTCATTAGGTTCCCCCTAGAGCTGGAGTAACACATGGTGGCGAACCACTCGGTGGGGTGCTGAGAACTGAATTCAGGTCCTCTGCCAGAGCAGTGTATGTGCACTCTTCACCACTGAGTCATGTCCAGTCCCCATGATTGTAGGAGGAGGAGGAGGAGCGGGCTGCTGCTTCTTCTTGGCCACCCGGCTAGCTTAACCCCCGAAATAACCACACAGAAATTGTATTAATTAAATTACTGCCTGGCCCATTATATCTAGCCTCTTCTTGGCCAATTCTCATATCCTGATCTAACCCATTTCTACCAATCTGTGTAACACCTCGAGGTCATGGCTTACCGGGAAAGATTCTAACCAGCGTCAGTCTCAGGCAGGAGCTTCATGGCGTCTGCCACACTGCCCTTCTTCCCAGCATTCTGTTCTGTCTACTCTGCCCACTTAAGGGCTGCCCAATCAAAAGGCCAAGGCAGTTTCTTTATTCAACCAATGAAAGCAATACATAGACAGAAGAACCTCCTACCTCACATGATGTCTTTGACTACCTTAAAATGTCAAGTTGCTGTCCTGGGTGTAGTGGGCTGGGTATTGATCTTTTGAGGTCATCGTTTGCTGACTCTGGCTCTATGATATGCATTGTATTCTGTTATTCAGACATACCCATAAGCTGCCAGTGACTGTTCATATGAAATTATTCACCAATACCAAATAAAGCATTTTAAAGTCTTACAAGGATAAATGAGTTGCCAAGACACAAAAAGGCATGTAGGACCTTTTTAAAAGATTTTTTTATTTTATATATATGGTGCTCTATTTACACATAGAGCCTATATACCAGCCGAAGATATCAGATCCCATTATAGATGGCTGTGAGCTACCATGTGGTCGCTGGGACTTGAACTCGGGACCTCTGGAAGAGCTGACAATGTTCTTAAGCACTGAGCCATTTTTCCAACCCCTTGCGTGTAGAATCTTAAGTACATATTGCTAAGTGAAAGAAGCCAGCATGTAGAGATGGGCTTGTGTGAGTCCAGTGACAGGATTTTCTAGCAAACAGGAATCTAAGCGATAACAAAAAGATCAGTGATTGCTTAGAAAAGAATGGTGCATGGGTAGATCAAAGGATTTTTTGGGTGGTAAAACTACTCTGTATGACATTGTGATTGCGGGAACCTGGCTTTATGCATGTATTCAAACCATAGAACTGTGGCACAGAGAGAACTCTAATAGACAGCACAGACTTCAGTTAATAATGCCAATCACCGGGCTGGAGAGATGCCTCAGGGGGTAGGAGCATCTCTTCCTCTTGTGGGTTCAGTTCCCAGAATCCACGTAGTGGCTTACAGACATCCAGAATTCCAGTTCCAGAGGATTTGACACCCTCTTCTGACCACCATGGTACCATGCCCACATGTGGTATCCATGTGTGTGTGTGTATGTGTGTGTGTATATACACGTACATATATATGTATATATTCAAGCAAAGCAATCATATACAGAAAATAAGATAACTGTTTCTTTAAATTTAAAAATTAACATTGGCCCATCAGTTAAAAATATAGCCAGGCGTGGTAGTGCCCACCTTTAATCCCTGCACTCAGCAAGTGGATCTCTTGTGAGTTCAAAGCCAACCTGGTTTACATAGCTAGTTCCAGGACAACTTGAACTACATAGTGAGACCCTGTCTCAAAAGAAAGTTTTTTTTTTTTTTTTTTAATAATAATCAATAGCTGGGCAGTGGTGGTGCATGCCTTTAATCCCAGCACTTGGGAAGCAAAGGCAAGTGGATCTCTGAGTTTGAGGCCAGCCTGGTCTACAGAGTGAATTCCAGGACAACAAGGGCTACACAAACAAAATAATAAATAATAATAACGAATATTTGCCCGTCAGTTGCAGCAAACATAAGCAATGTGAGCTAACAAATTGTGTGGGATGATGAGAGGCAGGATGGTAATTGTTTACTTCTGCTCCCTTTTTTCCTAAACCTACAAGTATTATAAAAAATAAGGACCATTAGAAACTTGTCTTTAAATCAACAGATGCAGAGACTGGAGAGGTGATGGCTCAGTAGTTAAGAGTTGAANAGAGAGAGAGAGAGAGAGAGAGAGAGAGAGAGAGAGAGAGAGAGAGAGAGAGAGAGAGTTGAATCCTGTTCTCATGCATATGGCGCTCACAGTCATTTGTATGATTTAGATAAAACAGCATAGTTCCCCTAGGGGTGCAGTGGGCCAAGAGGGTCCCACCTCTGTGGATTCCAGGAAGGTGGGAGGGAGCAGGTGAGAGACAGAGATGGATAGCCATGCAGAGTGAGTTTGGATATAGTTTATTCAGTAAAAGGAAAGGGAAGGGGGAGAAAAGGAAAGAGGGAGGGAGGGAGAGAAACAGAGAGAGAAAGGAGGGGAGGAGAAGAAAAGAGGCCTCAGTTACCTCTTCTGAAGAGAGATGGGACAGGGAGAGTGCAGGTTGGAAGCTGAAGGAAGACCTGCTTATTTTGGCTGAAAGGGAGGGGGGAGTGGGTGGGGCTTGTCTCTTAAAGTGATAGGACAGACCATTACATTCCCATCTCTTATAAAAAGGCAGGAGGTTAGGGACAACAAGTTAAAGGAATTAGAATGGCAGATTCTCAAGTCTGCTTTCTGTTTATTTGTGGGTGTCATCTGGGGGGAACCTGAGAAAGCTGGGTGCTGGCTACACTTTGGGACCTGGGGTCCCTCAGATTTTTCTTTCACTTTTTTTTTCTTTTCTTCTGGACAACTCATAAGTGGTCCCCACTTGAGAGACTGCTCAGAGAGGCCTCTGTCCTATCTGGCTTCTGAGTATTCTGGACAGGGCCAGTCAGCTTAATTAACACCCTGTCTGTAGGGAGAAG